TTTTTTTTTAAACCTGTTCCTTTTCAAAAACATTAAACGATAAAAATCGATAGGTAAATTATAAAGTTGTGAATGTTCAAATGAAAATGTGCAATAATATTTTATATGAATTGGGAGCAGGTTATAATGTTACTCATACGCCATATGGTACAAGGTCATACTTGTACATACGCGTTCATGGCGTTTGAATAACATGTTCCATTCCATTTAAACATTTTTTATTCGCAATGCAAACTTAAAATGAAAATATCTGGTCTAGAAAAACGGAATCCAGATCCGACCCAAAATTAAGCTTAAATGTCTCGGCTTTTTTTTGACATTTTAGCGTCCCTACAGTGAAATTTAATGTATTTCATAGACTCCACTTCCAGATATCCACTTCTTAAACTTCGACATAATCTGTATTTACCTAATGGCATTTGCGCGAAGTCCTTTTCGAATGGATTGGGGTGACATGCTATGGCCTTCATTGCTCACAGCTCCCTAAACCATAGGTAACATTCGCCGGAAACTTTGTTTGCAATACATGTAAAGCGTGAACAGAGCGAGCATTGTGAACTAACGAAGCATTCCTTAGGAATGGTGACTAACACATGCTGGGCCAGTTTTTATCGAGCGAAAGCGTAGGCTATCGAGGAGGCAATTATCTACAGAGAGGAAACAAAACTTCATACTCTCTGACAGTTTGGCAACCCCGAAAGCTTTATACTTACACAAAGACAACACGGCAAAGTCCGAATTTCACAGACTTTTGAACAAGATAGGCAAGCCTTTTTGGATTGATAGTTCAATATGGTATCACAACCGACATTACGTATAAAACCCGCAACTTCCAAAAATTCAGAAAATCTTCCACCAAACCGATATATAATATTTGCGATTTTTAATGTTCTATTAAGTTAGAATTTGCCGCAAGGGTTTACCTATGTTGCTTCCTATGTTGAATCCAAAATAAATTATACGGCTGGTAATTGCACACGTAAAGGTGTGAATTTATTCACTTTACTGCTGTGATTATGTATACCTACTTCAGTAAGTAAACCGCATACAGCTACATAAAGGTGAAAAGAAGCCAAGTCCCTTTTTCAAAATTTAGTTTTTGATGCAGAAAGGCAGGTAATGCGACATCGAACTACATCGATTTTTTTGTCTCTTCTGAACAATTTAAAAATATGGACTTGGCACCTTTTCAACCTTAGGTGACGATGTATGTGTGAATCGTAAAATAAGTATGTATGAATTGATAATTTGAAAATGTAAGAATTTTGAGCACACTTTCGCTCGGCTTATATGAAGATATTAAAGTGGATTAATGCAGGTATTTGGGAAAAGTAGTTCCCGCATCATTCTAGTAATGCGCGCTACGCCCTCAGCTATTTAGCTGCAGAAGACTGATGCACTATATTTGCACATTTAATGGCGTTTACTGAAGCATAAAGCGACCGAAGAACTCGAGGGCTTAAATACACTCTGCTTTGGGCGCTGCAACTCTGGCGGTTGGTTAACCGAAAAACCCCCGAATGTTCGGTGCGTTCACGCAGCTTTTGCTGTGCATTGTCACCGCATATCGTCGCACACACACAGTTCGTTCATTGGCGCTGCTGCTGCTGGCTGCATGCATCGAGTGCTTTGTGTGCGCGCTCCCAATTTATGCATCGCTTTGTTCGTCGCGAAGCCGCAGACTGTGATGCACCGTTGCATACGAATTGGTGCGTGCGCGCATGTGTGCGTGTGTCTGTTTATTTGCATAGCAGAACACTTTTAACCAAAAAGCTTCAACGCAAAATTACCACGAGCTACATATGTACCGCATACTTACCAGCATTTCCCACCCGTTTGTGAGCATTACCCAAAGCATTTGTGCTGAAGCACTGCAAATATGTTTTCCCATGCTCGCCCGGCTCTCAAGCAATGTAACTTACATATGTTTGCTTCCAGTGCTGGTTGATTTACGCTTCATACATTTTTGTATTGAACACGAAATATCACCTGTAAACTCGACAATTATGTATGTACATAAGTAGGAATACAAATGGTAGTTGCATAGATCGAATGAACAAATTTTTTACCTATTCCCATCGCATGTAATGTCCTTGATTTGAAAAGCCGAATATCATTTATTTGCTCTTTCATCTATTTTGTTATGTTTTTATTTTCTACTCAAATATTTGCGAATATCTCCACGGTGGTTTACACCGTTAGCCAGCATACAGCCTGTCATAAAACTGTGCGTAAATGCCATCATAAAAAAAAACTTTGCCGCAGTTAGCATAGTTCGAGTGCGCTTAAACCAACCATTTCGGAATTATGTCGCTCTTGTTGTAATTGTTTTAATTTAATTAACAGACACAAGGCTACAGCGAAGTGGCGCATAAAAAGTCAAAAGGTGTGGATATAAAAAGGCTTGCTAGCTGTGGCATTTAGTAGGACAAATATGTATGTATGTACATAGGTACAACACTAATAAAGAAATGGGGGAAAGAGCAAAAGGTTAAAAAAACAACAAATAGGGTGCCAACCAGTGAAAGAGCAATAAAAAAATGACAGTGGCAGTGTCGGAACTTCCGCAAACCATTGGCATGAACGCTGTTTAAAGTCATGAAAAAATACCGTTAATACAAATTTATATTGCAATAGCGGACGGCGAAAATGTGCAGCAAAAACTTAAATTTATTTAAGAAAATTTTTAAATTTTTAATTTGCGAGGCCCCTACTCTTTGGGGCTTTATACATACGCACATTCCTCAAATGCATTTACTCATTGAATTTTATTTAATTAAAGCAACGGGGTTCTATAGAAAAACCCATTAGGCAATTTATTGCAATCACTGCAGTTTGCATAATCTTTTTAATTGTAGCGAAAAAAAAATAATTTCCCCTGTTTTTATTTCCTCTCTTTTTTTTTATAGATTTAAGAGTCGGCTGGTGCGCTGCCTCGCCTCTGCCACATACATTGTGCGGCAAATTTGCTCCCTTGGCATTACCGTTTACACTCCCAGTGTCGCGTTGTCGACCGTAATTGGCATTCCCTATTGGGCATCCATTGTGGGCATGGCTGTGATTTGCATATTTTTCACTATCATGGTAAGTTCAGCATGTGAAAATTGTAAAGTGCGGGTATGAATGTGTGTTTGAATTATTTTATCGCTTTTCACATAAATAGACCGATTTACGTTTTTTTTTTTATACTTTTAAGCACTTCAACATTTATTATGATTTGTTTCCTACCAGTTTTTTTTTTTTATTCGTGACATTCGCTCGGTTGACCAATGCGAACGCAACCAATAATAAGTTGATTGTATATTGTTAAACACTAATAACATGTGTTTATATACATACGTGTGGTATATACACATACATACATGCATGCATGCCCTGTGGGGAAGCGTAGTAGTACCGAACTGGTTCCATAACTAGTGCGCGTTAATTCGCTTTGGCATGCTAGTGACATTGCGATGTCCGAAAAAATTTATTTGAGTGAATTTAATTTAAAATTAGCATTTGAAAACACTTTTACAAATCTTAGTCTGCAGCTGAGTGTGTAGAGGTGCTTGATGTGTGATTAGTTAGATTCCAGAAGGTTCCAAGATATTAAAAGCTTAATATAGATTTCTATTAAAAAAGCATCTGTGAAATGCAGAAGAAAAGCGTAGTTGAACGAAAAAAACGCCAAATAAATATATATTTAAAGTAAATAATAAAATAAAATTTTTTTAGAAAAATTGGACTTGGCAAGCAAAAAATAAAATAAAATTGTTTTTAAAAGTACCACATTTCGCACATTTTTGAACTGTTGGGGAACTATTTATGTACTATCGGACTGGTTCCTTTTTGGTGATAAAGATCTAGTAAGTGAACTAAAAATTTGGCTCACTACTATTTCGGGGTTTCTCTGCAGGGTACATATTTATGCTAAAAAGCAAGCTGTTGCATGCGTCCATTTGGCGATATGTCGTCAGTTATTGCCACAAGGAAATTGCTTTTAATTAAGCGCTGTGGGCCATGAAAACTCATTGTAAATAAATTTTAAATGCGTATTTATTTATGTTTAAGTTTGTTTTTTTTCTCGAGTTCAATTTTTAGTCAAACATTTTTTTTTTATTCTCGCGCTATTGGCTTAATTTGTGCAGTTTTCAGTCCATCGTACTTAGCTAAACCAGAACGACTGAATTTTGTGGACATTCCATCCAAAAGGAGAAAAAAATTGAGCACGCCAGTCCTATGAATCCAGCTGTGCTGACTGGTACATTTTCAGAAAAGTCTCTATCTGCAGTAACCTGTAGAATTCCAAGTCTATATAATTCTGATTGGGCCACCCGGGATGGCGGATGTGTTAATAAAACTGCTCTCTTTGGTCTATTATTTTAGCAGAAATAGAAAAAACAATTACAACAATATTGAATAAAAGACTATTGCTAGATTTAAGCAGAGAGCGAGGATAAAGGTTAATACAAAGACTTCTTTTAAAACTATAGTTGATTGCAAAATCGTTATTTTGTAATTTTAAATTTTTTCCATAAAAAATAAATGTTTTTGGGATTTTATTTTTTTCGATCATTTTTAACCGTTAATGTTCTACCAAATTAAATCTTGAAAAAAACGGTTATAATATGATCGAAAAAATAAAAATTAATATTAAAGGTCGGAAATTTATCGAAAAATTAAAATCCAAAAAAAACGATTAAATTATTAGAAATATCAGAAACACAATTTTAACAGTCATAGCCCTTCCTGGATTTAAGTGGTTACTGATAATACCGATGCCAGGATACAACCAAAATGCCGTATTTACACAATAGGTATTTTCGTTGAGTGCACTGGAGCACCCTAGTAGTATAGGAAAAAGCATTCAATGAGGGTTTTCCTGTGCTAAATGTCAAAAGTAGTTTTGCATTGCACTGTTATACACTTTTAGTGCACTCATCGCACAGACCTAATGTGACATACACATGAACATATGCACACCACATTAGACTAAGCTATATGTAGTGGCCTAGGCCTTATATGTACATATGTTGACTTCAGGTTATTTTTTATGATTGGCTGAGTATGTGAAAGTTATACAGTTACATATATGCCTACCTACATATGCATGTATTTATGTATTTACACCAAGTTAAATTGAGTTCAATTCACCTATAAAATATGTTTGGTCTCATTCACAACAGGGTGGTCTGAAAGCGGCCATTAACGCAGATGTCATACAAACTGGTAAGTATTTTCACGTCCTAACGGCGACTGTTCACTCACTTTCTTAAAGCCTAAACTAACATACTTGCATTTTTTTTTCTCTCCTTTTACTCTTCAATTGTTTACTACATTTGCAACTGATGGCATTAGTAACGGTAATTTTAGTCACATTAGCCGTCATTGTGAAGGGTCTCATAGCAAGTGGCGGTGCTAAACACGTTTACGAAGTGAATCGGGATAATGGTAAGTAGTTTTACATCTAAATTCTTTGTTTTGCATTTTTTTTTTGTAAATCGCATACCAAGCAATTTTTTGAAATGTGCAACAAATAGTGGTAGTATTTGCCTACATATATTTCAGCGCGTAGAATATATCCTTCAAAATACATAATTATAATCAATCGGCTTCAATTTTTGTGGATTTCCTCAAATATTTATTTGAAATATAATCCAATTACATTTGTTTTAATGAGCCCTTGATATTATGTAAATAATGCCTTGATATTAATAAATTGCTCAATTATACCAATTATTACAATTAAAGTACATGAAAGTACAACATACATATGCAGATTTGTACATAAATATATATTCAATTGAATTATCGATCTATGGTAACCGTAAATAAACTCATTCGCGCGTTTAAACCAACCACAGGGAACTTATACTTCATCGAGTGTCTGAGTTGATTTTCGTTATTCGCTTTTGTTATTCCTTTTAAACATAATATTTTGTTCCATCGCGCAAAACCTTCAGCCCAGAATGCTACTCGCACAATCGCTTGGCGCCAGCTGCTAAAATCCAACTGCAGCTGCCGCTCCTGCCTCGGATTTCGTTGTGAATATATGTATGTACATAAACGCTGAGATTTATTCATTTTAATTTGAATGTATGTATGTACATATTTATTTTGATGAATGCATTGCAGCATCAATCATTGTGTAATATACGACGTTGTTGCCTGCCTCCCCCCACAGGCAGAGATGTGCGCCACCATGGTAGTTGGGTTGAGGCAGTGCCGCGAAAAGTGATAAAATGTAAAAACAATCTCACCGTTATTGAGTAGCAAATAGAGAACACGCAGCAGCCAGCATCGCTTACTCCCCGCCGACTGGCTCGTTTCTCCCCCGACTGTATTGCGTGCCGCATTGATAACCACAACCATTAACGTTGAACGCGTCGGTATGTGCCCATAAATTGCATACCGCTTTCTGAGCGTTGTACGCTTCATCAAAGTCTTAACCCTATTTTGGAATTCAATACGCAATATGCATGCAAAAAATGATTTTTTTTCTTTTTGTATTATTGTGTTGGCAGCGAATTTGTTTATCCTCCCACTTTAAGCCGCTTACGCCAGGCGAATGATAAGTGACTGCCGATTGTATTTAAAGGAACTGGAAAGTATTCAGTGTGGGAGTATGATTTATTTGGGAAAACAGTTCAGTAACGCCTTGTAAAATTTGGTTTGAAGACTAACCGGTTTCGACGCTAGGTACGGCTGCACTAGGCGACGCGACACGACACTACACAGCGCAGCCAACATATGCTTTGCATGGATTCTTATGAAGCATACCACACCACGCTGCAGCGAAGCTACGAGACACGACACTCCGCGTCAAAGCTGACCAACAAGGCAAAAATGTCGCGTCGCGTGGTGTCGCTCAGTTCCGGTGCCGCATAGTGCGGTATACCCAGCGGAACGACTTAATATTTTATGCTATATTTTTTTAACTCGAAGAAATTGGATTTCGAATTGTGAGTGAATATGCAGATACATTTTATTCGAGAAGTACATTTTATATACATAAAGACACATACAATTTGAGGAATTGCCAGGGAATATAAGATAAAAGGCATTAACATTACATCAGCGTCACGGCATCCATTTGGTTTGAAAGTTTTGACACAAATAAATTAAAAATTTTGCAGCGAACTTTCGCACCGCTGCGGTTTCAGTGCGGTATACCAAAAAGTGTCGCGTCGCTTAGTGCGATCGTACCTTTACAAAGTTACGCCAATTGTTCATTCCAATTTTACTAGTATTCAGGCTTCTTCTGCAGTTGACGCTCCAGCACTCTTGCACTCTACTGATGGATGACAAGTTGAAGGATGTATGCCATTATAAAGCTCGAACATGCGTCACTACATCCTCTTCGGTACATATTACCAACCCGAAGACTGCTTTATGTAGATATTGCGTTGAATAGTTCTCTTGAAAGGGTGCATGCTATAGAGCGTGGCTTTTGTTCTGCTTATCAATGACCTACCGAGCCCAAATTAGCACCTTTTGGCAAGAGTTATTCTTCGCTTTATCTCCTTGCTGACATTATTTTTTAGGTAAAAATGCCAGATCCTAGGTAGGCAGAGTCCTTCACTACATATTTGTAATTGCGACCGATCAACGCTTTGCTGCGTTTTCCATGATAGAAAATGCTGCGCCCAAGGCCCTGGTGTTGAATACGACGATAACAATGTTTTGCTCAATACAACTGTATTGGTTTTGCGGCGATCCCAAATTCGGACACAGCATCAGAGAGGCTATATTGCTGTTCTCGCCTCGAATTGTTCTAGTAGAGAGACGTGACCTTCGAACCTTTACATTGGTCTAGGGTCTTTAGTCTATTTACTGGCATTATTGTTTTTACGTTGCGGGTCCCAAACTGCGCGCTAGTGAAGAATTAGCACTCGAAACACTACCTTACGCTCTTACTCTCAACCATCTACGAGCGTTTTACGGAGTCCCAAATACGTGCCACGAAGATAGATTGTCAAGAACCCAGAATAAATACCTGAAAATTAACGCGGCCTAATAGGATCGACTTAGCTTATTGGTCATATTTTGAAAGAAGAGTGCCTTATTCAGTTAGAGATGTTGCTGCACATCAATATCCTGCAGGCCTACAAAAACAGCAACAGCAATAACTCAAGCACCTGGCAATTACATTCTAACAAATCATTTATTTTATGCTCTATTATCCATTTAAGCCTTATCATCGTTAAGCTGCTGCTACATTTTTTCTCTAATCGCACAAATACTTAATATGTAGATATGTACATATGTATGTAAGGTCTTGCGCCAGCGGTCGTGTGCAAATAAAAACATACGTACATATTTCTAATGCACACATATGTAGTTACAAGTGAGTACTTGGTTTTGCTCTTATTTTATTATAATTTGATCACAAAAATGAAGTAAAAGGCAAGGTGAGAATGGACAGCAAACAAACTTAGGTTTGGGCAAACGTGATGTGCCGCAAGGACGAAAAGATTGCGGTATCATCCAAAGGTGGACGTGAAAATGGTCATTGGTTAAGTGCATATACATACATACATATATATGTATGTATGTACATTAGTGTGGGCCGAAAATCCGTTTTTTTTTTTTATTGGTAATAGCAAAAATGTGGTTCATTATGCTCTAGAAAAAGTCTATGTGAAAGGTGAAAATGTTTGGTCATTATCGTAGGCTCGCCCAAGTCCATCAAAGTTCTATGTGCTCAAAAAATAAAAACTTAAAAATACATCAATCAATAATTTTTTTTTACTAAAACTGCAAGTATCTTCGAAAGTATTAGTCCTATACATAATTTGGTATATGGAACTTTTTTGTTACGAATCGAAGTAAGCTAAGAAAGAAATTTTTTAGCGCTTGAACTTGGATGGACTTGGGCGAGCCTAAAAGCGTTAGCTTGGACCTAATCCGGATCAATTGCAGTTAATTGCCGAGTTGATCCGGATCAACGCTGCCGTCTGTTTATGCTTTAAGATACTGACCGAAAATTGTCACCTTTCACACAGATTGTTTTTACAGCATAATGAACCATAATTTTGCTATTACCAATAAAAATTCTAAAAAAAAACGGATTTTCGGCCCACGCTAATGTACACACATACATACTCCCTTGCCACCTGGAGTCCGTTATCTATACAATAAACCAGAATAGGGTGGCTAAAAGCCTTGTTTGAATATAAAAGCTCAATAAATTTACTTACATGGTATTTATGTGCATATGTATGAATGTATACAAGTGCATAGTATATTTGTGTGTACATTGATATGTTTGTCATTAGTAAACAGACATCTATCTACTTGTGCCTACAATATTTATTTAAGCTGGGCATATGCCCTCCATAGGCTGGGTACGGGAAATGAACAACAACTCCACTTGGTTCGTCGTCGTCTTGCTCGGCCAGCAATAGCCAAAGTAAAGTCCGAACGAGTATTTATGTATTTACAAAACAGAATAGTTAAATACAACCACGTAGCGATAACGTGATTGTATGAATGTAAATACTTATGAAAAGTTACCAAAGTTTTTCCCTCTTTGATTAAACCCTCAAGAAGTAGGCTGCAGGCTAATGAATGACCAAGATTATTTAAAATTATAAACGGCAGGAGTCGCTATTAGTGGTCACCGTAAACAGAATAATTCGATGATTAAAAGTGAATACGCTATAGATCTTAATCACCTCATTTAGTTGTTTAGGCGGCTACAGTATCCATACAGTAGTTGGGCCAAAGTTATTCGGGTCTCTTGTGGCAGTCGAAGCTCTGCATCTGCAATAAGCTGATATTGGGCACCGATCACGGCATTCATAGGTCGAGAGTCTTGGTAGGTAGTGACTGACTCTTTATGAACGCCGTTGATCACTCGATCGGTATGTGGTCGGGTAAAAAAAATTGTTTAGTGAAGGTCTGGACCATGGTCGTATATTCTGTCTGAGGGATCTGTGGGTGCTCAGAGTGTAGGCTGTCAAAGGTAACCCCTAGATTTTCGGGTTATGCACCGTCGAAATTGGTGTGCCATCGACGTGAATGGCTAGTTCAAGCCTGACATCCTTCGTCTAGGTGGTGAAGGGGGTCCCCGTTGATTTCGCCGGCGAGAGAGTTATGCTCCGTGCAGTGGGGAAGCCAGAAATTTCCAAGAGATAGCCGTTTACTTTGGAGCATATGTCACCAACTCCATTCCCGGATGCCAATATCGAACAGTCGTCAACATATGAGATGAGGAAAACTCCCCCTGTTGGCTGAGAAAGCTTTCAGGCTCCCTCTTCCTCTGCAACCACCAGCGGGTTCCAAGTTGAATATTTTCAGAGCTGGAGCGTCGGTGTCCATTCGAACGACATGGCCAAAGCCGCTGCATTTTAAATCGCTGCACTTTGTCTATGTCGTTGTAAAGCTCATACAGCTCATCATTCCATCGTCTGAGGTACGCGCCGTCGCCAACGCGCAAAAGCCCGTACATTTTCCGCAAAATCTTTCTCGAATACTCAAAGAGCCACCCCATCGGACGTTGTCATTGTCCATGCTTTTGCGCCAGAATACAAGAATACCATCCCGAACTTATTCCATAATTCAAGTCGTAAATCGTGCGTAAAGATAGGAATTCCGATGTATTATGTGAATAGCTTGGTTTTTCATTCCTTTCTTTATTGTAAACTTTAATAACAACTTTAAAATAACTTTTCCCTAATATCTTCCAAAAATAGATCGTTTACAATTCTTCAACTTCAGCGGCGACATGACTGTGCGAGTAGATACGCTGTCCGCCTGGCTAGGTCAGTTGTTCATGTCGTTGTCTCAGTTTGGCTGCCAGCAGAACTTCATGCAGCGTTACGTATCGCTGAAATCCATGAGTCAGGTGCGAAGGTAAGTTTCCAGTAACTGCTCAATTTTCGTAACATAACATTATACATTATACTTTTCTGGATTTTCAGAGTCATGATGACAAATATTCCCATAATCTTTGTGTTCTTTTCACTATCGTGGCTGTCGGGTATGGTGATATATGCTACCTATGTGAACTGTGATCCCTACGCTGAGGGCTACATAAGCAAACCAGATGAAATTTTACCCTTCTTTGTGGAGGATCAGTTGGCGGTGATACCCGGCTTCGTTGGCATTTTTATGGCAATGCTGTTCAATGGTGCATTGTGGTGCGTATAATTTTATCTGGCTGTTGGATGGCAGCTAATATAAATGAATTTTTAATTGCTTAATTTAATTTCTTCTCTCTTACATACATATTTGTCTGCACAAACTACATATTTCATCGTTATCAATTTCTGCCCAATCTAACGCACGGTCTGTCGCCACTTTTGCTCAACAGCATGATGGTCTCAAATTTAAATTCATTAGCCACAGTTTGCTGGGAAGATTTTATATCGCAGTTGCCACAATTCAAGGGACTAAGCGACAAGCAACAGCTTTTCATCCTTAAAGTCATAACCGTCATTTGCGGATTAATTATAATGGGAGTCGCTTTCGGCGTAGGCCTGCTATCGGGAGTAATTGAGTCTTCATTACTAGCATTTTCGGCAACATCCGGCCCATTATTGGGCTGCTTCATATTGGCCATGCTTGTGCCGATTGCCAATTGGAAGGTAAAAAAGCGGAAAGCGCGCTTTTAAAGCTGATTATAATAATAACGGCAATAACATTTTCTTTTTTTTTATTACCTTAGGGCACCTCTGCTGGTATGATTTCGTCGTGCGCGTTCGTGATCTGGATCATCACTGGCAGCGCTACATTGGACAAGAGCGGTCAGAATATTTTTCTGCCTACATCAACAGAGGTAGAATACAGAAAACTGACTGAAAGGATAGGATCGAATGATATGAATTTTTTATTTTTTGTATATTCTTTTAGGGCTGCACCAACACCACTTTCTCGCAGTCCATCATTAAACCCAAAGAACTTGCTGCGTCGTGGTTAGCTTCGCATTCGCTCGTCAACGAGACTTCAGCTATGCAACTAACCCTCATGGCACCTGAACGGTAAGCAAAAAAAAATTATAATATTTTCATACTACATATTTACCCGCAAGCTTTCCGAGGATTGCCTTATATGCATGTATTTTTTAATCAAAATTGACCGTATTTATTCAAAAATATTGTCCATGAAGTTTTATCTATATAATTTTGTCTCCGTTCACTTGTCGACCCTACTGAAATTTAAAAACCAAGAGGACCAAGTTTTTATGGTTTTAAAATTGGTTGAAAATTACGGTCAAAATTGTTGTTTAAAAATTTGCGTATAGTTGTTATTGCAACCTTTTCAATTTTAGTTGCTTTCAGATTTTGTTTGTTGTTTGAAATGCAACTTTTTAACAAAGATAAATGTGATGATGAAGAAATAAATGATAACGTTTAAGAGAAAAAACTGAAAGCATAAGATAAAGACGAAAATTAAAACAATGAGAAATACATAAGAATTGGGGTAAATGAAAGGGTAAGAATGTCAATTGAAACTTTTCGCTAGGAATCGAAATAAATTCAATCATATAAAATTTAGTTATCGAAAGTTACCAAGTTATCGAATCATCGAAGTTATCCATGTTTATTGAGTTATCGCTACGTATCGAATTACTCAAATTGATCAATGTTTATATAGTTGTCGAAATGTACGTATAGTTGTCGGCATTTTAAATTTGTGGGATTATCGAAATAACTCAAGTTAATAAAATTTATCCAGTTATCGATATTTAATGAATTATCGCTATTTATAGCGTTAATGAATGTTACGGAGTTATCGTAAGGCATCGAGTTCTTTCGACTTATCGAGTTATCGATATTTATTAATTTACTGAAATTTGCCGATTTAACGAATCGATGTTTTTGGAATTTCCAAAATATATTGATTTATCAATACAAAAGTGTAACGAGTTATCGAAATTTGTCGATAGCTTTCGAAAGATGTGGAGCTATCTATTAAAATAAACTGAGTTATCGAAATTTATAGAGTTATCAAAAGTTTATCGGGCTATTGCTTTTTAAGGAGATATATATATATTTTTGAGTTATCGAAATTTTTCGATCCCTTGAAATGCGAGGTTATCGCGATTTATCGAGGTTAGTTGAGTTGTCGAATGCTATTGAGTTTTCGGATTTTAGTGGATCGAAATTTAAATTTAAAGCGCTCGCTTGTCCTTGCAATTAAACATATCCAAGAGTGAACCACGAGTGCTCGGTGGTGCTCCCATCCATTTCCTGTCCTGTTGCATCGTTTCAAGGATTTCCTTTCTGCCAACTTGTCAACAATGCAGTTTCCCAGAATGTCACTGGTTCCTATATGGAAATATGTCTAAAAATTCCCATGCCATTTGGGGGCCACTCTCTGACCAATTTTAGACACAATATCAGAAACATCACCGCCCTGACTGGAGCTATTTTAGTGAAGCAGTAATCCTCGTAATGAGGGATGAAATCTAAACGCTCAAGAATTCCCTTGTGAATAAACCCAGCCCCTACTTGCCAATTTGGCGGCGAACCCGCCGTCAGCCACCCATTTGGCTCCCAGGTTAGATCATATAAGGTGTCCATAAATCTACTCTTAACAATATGGGCCAAGCCACGTGGCACAGTCTTTTGAGAGTGGCAGAAAGTCCAAAACTCAAAATATGCAATAAAGTGCTTGATAAAATTCTAGACATGCCTACAAATATATTTTGAGAATTCCTTCTGCGAAAAATGGCACTAGTAGGATTCCAAGGACACAGGAATTCAATGTTGTATGAATCGTATTTTTACACTGAGAAAAAAATAAACCATATCCTCTTTGTTTCAAGCTAAAACCCATATGATTTTGCGAAAAACGATCTTTTATTTACTTTAGATGTTTTTTCGTAATCAAGAAAATCCTAGACAAAATCAAAAATGAATGCCATTCGCACTCGGATCCTCCTGAAAGCTTACCTGGTGATGCTCAATATGATGCCCATGGATCCATGCCTAAAGGAAACCGCGATGTACTCCGCAGTACGACTCAGAGGGTCTGGGTGGTGCAGATCGATTACCTTCGGGCATAGCTCATCTTAGATTCTACCTCGAAAGCAAATAAAACCTAGATTTTGGCTTGAATGTGTGGATGCGGTTTCCATCCAGAAGAGAATGGAGAGGGGGAAAAGCTGCTGACAAGAAAGCCATTCTTTCGTTTACGACCCTTCTGTTAATCTTCCAGTGACAGATTCTCATAACAGCTACCGAACAATGATAATTGGGATCTGATTTTACTGGAGTTTAATGTCTAGTACTTTTGTCTGAAGTATAAAAAATGTTGTAGCTTGGCGAACTTTCACGCCCGCTATTGGGTGGCAGATATGTCAGATTTTATCTGGTTTAAAGAAAACTGTGTTTTTATATTGGTTTTGGTATAGCTGGTGGATATGGAAGTAGGCCAATTTTGATCATATTTCAGATTTAAATTTGTTTGGCTAAAACTAAGCCACAAAGCGAGTGTCATTAAAATCGAATAACATTTACTATTTCCGCCCCCTAGTGGCAGTGTGTCAATCTATGCAATATTTCACATTTCTTCATAACAAATTTTATATGGGGCTTCTCCACTATGCGCCGTCCTCTTCTCCAGCTCCTCTTACAACTCGTTTACGACCAATAAGAGAGGTGATGGGATGCAGCTGTTCCCTCTGCGCTGCAAGCTGACGCTACCCTGCTCAACTGCGAGAGTTTTGTCGCAAAGCAAGCTCTAAATTAGCCTATTGAAGGCTATTTTAGTACCGAGTTATCTGCTGACTTAAATATTCCTTCCGGCAGAACGTTGTTAAAATAGCTTCCATGTCGAAGTAGGCCCCTACTCAAAAGTGTATGAGTGAAGCTGGATCTATCCACTTTACAATTGTATGCATTTTCCTTTATTATTCTTGTATCCTATATATACATCTCATGTAACACAAGTTTACTTTTTTTCTTTTGCATTTAGCACTCCGATGGAGACTTTCTACTCTGTCAGTTACATGTACTACAGTTTACTTGGAGCAGTCATTGCTGTTGGTGTCGGCGTTATAATCAGTTACCTTACACGTGATCCCAAGGACGCCTACGATGCGAAGCTCTTACATCCTATGGTATTGAGATGGTGTGAACGTTTCCCCGGCGAAAAGCCCTATATAATTGGCGAAGCTACCAGCGATTTGACATCGGGGGAGAAAGAAAAAGGCACCAAAGTCAACCATGCCTTTGATGTACAAACCGAAGCCAATATCATCATTGGCACAAGTAATGAAAAACAGAAGCACAATCCCATCGAAGTCGTCTTTACTAAAGGGCAAAATGATAAGAAAACCGAAATGCCAGTTGAGCGCAGTATAACCACCGGTAACCTGGCAAAGGAGGCTGAACTGGATACGCCACCAAGTGGTGGCGAGAATGGCACCTACCGCCAGTTTAAAGAAAAGGAATCGGTGTGATTCGTATATACTATTATGTACATAATACGTATGTACGTCATACGAAGAAAGACCTGGAATTTATTGATATTCACTATATGGCGACTTATGCAAATTTACTTAATAATAAATAAAAAATGTTGGACTTTCGCTAAACAAACTAGTAGTATACAAATACAAATTTTAGTGCTAAGTAGTAATGGCTAAGTCTGAAAGTTAAAAATGGATTAAAATATTCTAAACAAACTAGTAGGCATAGTTCTGTGGCAATAACCGCCTAAGTCGATTTAAGAAAGAATTGAGTTATATATGCTATTGTATTCTGCAACTACTATTCCATGTATATGTGAAATCTCCATCGCGCCAGTTTGGCTATTTAAAAAGTTTAGAACGAACATGTTTGGTTTCCCCATAAGGTTAACATTACAATCCGAATGTTTATAACGTTTTTTCTCGAATTCAGGTTTTTCCATTTAGGCGGTTATTGCTTTGACCACAGAGTTATACCTGTTTGATATACATACATATGTATGTGCATACTTATATATGTATATGAATATACATGCTTACAAAAATAGTATGTACGTATGTAAATATGTATAAGATAGCTTAATGCAAATGTACGTTTATAAAATTATATATGTAAGTGGAATTCGCGCTTCTCTGTATTTGTTGTATCTTGTGGAGCGTCAGATTGTTGCTGTACGCTCATTCAGTTAGAAATATATCAAATACACAGAAGCGCGAATTTCACTATATCGAGCCCTAACCGCCAAAATAACGTAAGCGACAATTTTTCAAAATTTTCTTTTTGATGCAGAAACGCATGTAGATGCTCTAGGAATATTTCTGCATCAAAAAGAAAATTTTGAAAAAAATGTCGCTTACGTTATTTTGGCGGTTAGGGCTCGGTATGCGGTTAACTAAGTCATTTTAAATGAATGGCGATTAGTGTGCGAAATAAAAATGAAGACACTGTGATCATCAACTAATTTGACTACTTATATTGAATAATTTTAACTTTTGCAATAGATGTATGTGTGTATACTGTTAGACGTATTTACGCTTATACAATATGTATAATGTACTTATATCGTTATTCAGTATATTATATTAAATATTATACTTACAAATACAACATACATACATAGATATACATACATATTTAATGCTTAAGAGATAAACACTAAAATTTATTCTATTTTTGTAACGTGTAAACAACATTTCTACTGTAGATATTTATACATATTGCATATATTAGAATATATGTATGTAATTAATAACTTGAAGTACATACATAAACTTACTTATTTAGTTATAAAATTATATGCAGACAAATGTTCGTGGATATTGATTTACTTAGATTTACTTTAATTCATTACATCCCTGTTAATTAGATCCTTGTGTTTGAAATAAAAAATGTTTATTTGGAAGATTTAATAAAAAATTGATAAGCACTTGGAGAACATACATACATAAAATAACTGAAAGAGTTTAACGTAGTTTAATTTACAATTTCAAGTTGGTAAAATATTTGTTCCATATCTTTAGAGGTTGATTTTATTCGATGGTAACCTCCTGATCAGGAGCGAATGACTCAAGGCGGGCCATACGAAGCGAAGAGTTACACCCGGCAAGACGAGCCTCCGTATATCCGAGTGTCATCCGTACCGTGCTTTTGGGATAAATAGCACCACTTCAGTGTGCCTTATAATGGGTGGTTGTGAGAAATCCTGCTCGAGATACTGAGAGATCCATATGTCCCAGNCTTTTGGGATAAATAGCACCACTTCAGTGTGCCTTATAATGGGTGGTTGTAAGAAATCCTGCTCGAGATACTGAGAGATCCATATGTCCCAGCTGATATTGCTTCAGCCACACTCGTGGCATAAGTATTAACCTAGTAAATAACCAAAATCAAAAACCAGTCGGAGCTGTAGAGCTCTGATATACGGCCAACGTTGGCCTTTCGGCCGGCGTCGAAACCGAACCCCTCACTAATGCACTACCGGAAGCACGTAGTCGCTCGTGCTATGTAACAAATGGTGAACACTAGCATGAGCCGGGATGTAAGTGCCGTCAGAACGCTATCTGGCATTTGATTGCCTATCCGGGAAACAGCATATCCAACAACGCAAAGAACCCATTGGCCCACCAAGAAGCAAAACTCGGCTAAGAAAAGAGCCCCGTAGAATAGCTCCACCACAAAGAGCCGATCTCCGAATAAATTGGGCAAACCAGGCGATGGATCAACAAAGACGGGCCAGCTTGTAATATAACTGTGCCTCTCTCTCTTTTATGGAGGAGTTTTCGAGGTCGTGCTTGGTATCCTTCTAGAGGACTATTCAAATGCTGTGTGATCAACGATCAAGAACAAAATAGATAGCGTTATAAAGCCTATTTTCAATGGTTGCATCTTCCACTCGGCATGGTTATTTAAAAGCTGCAGAGACTTTTACTAAGCTTTCCCCGTGGAAGTAGGTTAAGATGAAATTGGTAGAGGATGTAGAAGCACCACGCCGCATTATTCTTGTGGGATTCTTCCCGAAGCTACAGAGATAGCTATGCTAACGCAGATGCACTTCAGGTAAAACTACGGGCGTTTTTATTCGGTTGTGCAGGTCAATTATCAGAAACGTGGTGAACTATGATTTTGGTGTAGTAAATCTGTTCTGTTACGCAAGTCGACACCGAAAACAATGTGACCAACAAGATGTGCTGAACAAATCCCATCAACACGTCGTACCTGTCAGATCACCAAAGCGCGAAATAAGGCCACCACTACTTGTCAGCTCCAAAGCGGCTACTTCCAGATGCAAAATTAAGTCACGGCCGAGCAAATAGTTTGGCTGGCATGTAACAGGGGAAAGAAGCTAGCTGCTGGGCCACAAAGACCGTAGCTAGTAGGGCCTCATCCCACAACCTGCCACAAATCGGGGGATATTAAATTCCTCCAAGTGAGTCTTCACCACACAAAGGCTGCTTCAGATGTTTTTGGTAGAAGGTTAACAAACGAACGCCCAAAAGCGGCATTGTTATTTAGTAATAAACCCAGTTTTCCTCTTTCGCTGTTTATGATGGCGAGTCAAGGTGGTCTGGGCCGTATTCAAACTCCTGGGGTGGCAGAGGCAGTACTTGACTCCGCACCCTCCCTGGGTGAGGAAGAGATGGCCCCGACAGCAGAAGTACAGGCCTTCTTCGTGCACTTCCAGCGAAGTGGCAAACCATGGATCTTCTGATGTGACGCAAATGCTCATAGTACTGTTTGGGAGAGCACCGGCACCGACAATGATGGTATGAGAAAGTTCTTTAACGTAGTTCCATATACTATGTAAGTATTTTAATCCGTGGCAACCAAACAACTTTTGGAAATGCTATTAGGGTCTCAGGTCTCCGAATAGTCCAAATATGGCACTGTCTGTCACAAAACGGCGCATCTCGTGAGAGGTATCAATGTCTGATCACATGTACATAGAGTTTGAGGTTAGTCGCTTTCCTGAACAGGAACAAGTTTTTAGAAATCCCCAAAAAAAAAACAAAATGGGAACCCTTTCACTTTATCATCGAAGAGGATGGAAACAGCCCAAGTAATCCCATCTCGACTTCGAAGGGGCTTGAGGCTGAGCCTGAACAGTTCCACTCAGACATTGGAATAACAGTAGTTGCCACCAAGGAAAGGTAAAATACAAACGTGATGTGCCTTGATGGAGCAGCAGCTGGATTCCAACATTCGCTAACGCTAATTTTAAACGCCAAAAATTCCCAAAAGAATATATGCCTCTCATACTTCCAGATTTGGCTGATTACACATTGTATCTGCTGTCCTTTCTCGTTGTGTGGCCATACTGCATTTCATTTAGAGAATTTTGGAGATGGAAATTTTGCGTTAAGATGCAGAATTCCACTGCATGAAGCTTGAGCAAATGAGATGCCAGCCCGGAAAACTATTCAATAGGGCAAATACTTCGCGTGATTGGAATCTGTATAAACTTGCGCTACCTTCTTATAACAAAGAGTTGCGGATATCCAAAAGAGCTTGCTGTCAAAACCTCTTCGAGGAAATTAACAGCCTCCCACAGGCAGTAGGGCCTTCACAAAAATTGGAATAAGGGATCAGACAATTGGCAGCCTAACGAAATCAGACTCGAATCGCGGCATTCATGGTTCCGTTTACCCGTAGAAAAAAGTAATCCATGACAACTTATTCTGGTCGGCAATAGTATAGGTTTTTCAAATAGAGCAAGATACCTAGATAAGATACCTGGATAAGATATTCGCTTGGAACGCACATTTGGATGCAACCGTTAACAGGTCGATGGCTGCTTTCTTTAATGCTCACGATTTTTTTGGAAAAACTTGGGGATGACGCCACCTTTTCGGCACTAAGGATCCTAATTGTAACCGAATTAAAACCGGAAATACGTAAGGTCAAATGAAGGTGCTCGAAAATTTTATAAATGACCCCATATTGCACATGCGTGACGCAATAGTTCAAGGACTAGTGATTTTTAGGAATTTTAAGGTAGCTATTGCAGACCAAGCATACCCCAAGGCAATAGGTCCACGAACATATCAAAACACCGAGCTTCCACAGTATTCTATGGCCCGGAACCCTTTTGTGGGGTCACCAAGTTATGTAGGTCAAAAAATCCCACAGGTACTGGCGTTAATGTCCAGGGAAAGACAAGTTAAGTGGTTTATCTGTTCATCATAAGAAGCTTCTAAAAACTTTATAAATTTAGGAGGGGAAGACCTTGGAACTGTTGTTGTTGTTATTGTAGCGACTACAACAACCCCGCCCAGATAGGCTGGTATTTCAGTCGTTGTCGTCAAGCTCAACTAACGGGTGACCCAAGAGTTAAGACCTTGGAACTCTTCGCGAGGCATTGCTGTTGTCACTTCAGTAAAACGAAGAAACGCCACGATACATTATTTGTGAATGTGAGGCCCTCGCTGGGCGCACATCTGGGTGCATCCCAAATCGTCAAAATAAAAAGCATCAGTCTCGTTTACTTCCAGACCTCAGTATATTCATAATGTCAAATGTGCGCAACCACGGATGGTAGTTTCGGACTAGGTCGCGCGGTTTAGAAGTAAAATATACCGATGCTTTGTATTTTGACGTTTTGGAATGCAACCTCTCTCTCTCCTATGTAGCTGTTGTTACAGTTAATCTATTCGAAATTTGGAACAAAAATGTCGCGGAAGTGCTAGTCTACATTAAATGCCTTTACGTATAGGGTTAAGGGCCACGCGCAAATCGACCACTATAACGCGGTGCTTATGGTCCAAAGCAGCTCCACCTGTCACTTTAAAACCGTTATTTAATTCAGCTTATTTCTACATAAATAATTTTATTCTAATAAACTTTGTAACTCCTCAATTACGTAAACATATAAACCAAGTGTGTTTTTAATTTTAAACGCATATAAATAACAAAATATTATTTATCCAAAGGCGTTAACTTTTTGCAAGGACTTATTATATAAATGCATGCTTAAGGTGTACTTTAACTCATATATTACGAATTCCATAGAGTGATGACTGCTTTATAAAATCATCTAATTTGGTTTGAAACAGTTCTGATGTTACAGGAGTGCCTGGTGACCAAAGGGGGTCGCGGACAACATACTCGACCCACACTTTGCTATATAGTTGTTTTAAAAGCTCTTTTACATTAAGTGCAGCTGTATCAGTATACAATACAAACCTGAGAAAGTCAAAATATTGTTTATTACTATTGCCCGTAATATAATTAAAACATTAAATAATTACTTACTTAAGACCGGAAGGCGTTTCAAGGTAATGAAGAGCATATCTGTTCGTTTTGTAGTACAGAAAGCCCTCCTTCGGGTCATGCGGCGATATTTTACTAACAAAAGATTTAATTGAAAAAAGCATACCATAAGTTAGTTTTGCTTCCTGAAAAATAAAAAGTTTAAGAAGATATTCAATTTAATGCTATCATATTTACCTCCTCTCTGCTAACACCAGACTTTTTCGTCCGATTCCACTCTGCATAGTACAGCATAGTGCCGAATTTATCAAAAATGTACAAATGATGTATAGTCATGATGTACTTAGTGCAGAATACTTAATTTTGTTGTTATTTAACGTTGTCGGCAAAATGCGCTTGTTTCCAAAATTAATAAATTCTATGTTGTTTACAAATGCTTATAAATGACAAAATGATATTTTAGTAACAGCTGTTTTATCGTCGTTGCCACATGAAATCCAACTGTTCACAGTGTGATACAAAAGCAAGTATCTTTAGTAGGGAATTTACATGAAGCGATTTTTCAGGCAAATTTTAGTTGTAAGCAACAATCGCGTGGTGTAAACTGCCTTCAACTAATCGCCTTCAGAGAATTTGGCTAGCTGCATACTTTCGTTCAACTTTCGATTCAACTAATCGGCCAAAAAAGTTTAATCATGTAAATTTCCTATAATTATGCCGGCGACCTAACTTGGGCCTTACACAGGGCATTCACACCTCTCTCGTTGTCTGTATCACATTGTTGACAAAATGTTAATCTGATTAATGACTAAAAGCTAACGATTCATATAGTATTCCCGATTAACGATTAAACTTATCCATCTTCTAAATTAAAATACATTTTTTAGTCACTTGTGCAAAAAACTGAAATTCAAATTTGCCACATTTTTTTTTTTTGTTTGCGCTGTCCGCATTCGAGGCGAAAATCAAAAATGAGCCGCAGACATAATCGAAACGGAGTCGATTTCCTGTTGCAAACATTTCAAATACGCTCAAAATCGCTGCGGTATCGAAGAACGTATATTTACGTTCTTTTGCCGTAAATTTTCAAAAATGTCCCTTCCTATAGATTTACGTTCTTTGATCTAGCCTGACGGCCTGCCTCCACAAGCAAACGTTTTCGCCTACCAACTGTAATTGTTAGTGCCTGACATAAATTTTATCAAATGCAATATTTGTGCGAGGCATTTTTTATCTTGATAAAAGGATTTGTAAGATGGCAATTTTTGCCGAATTTAATCACTTAAAAAATTAAAAAAAAAGTATGTTATTTTACACCCAAGCACATAATACCAAATATTTTAATAGAAAACCGCTTAATTTTGCTTTTGTTATAAAATATCAATAATGTTGCCGCCGCGAAGTTATCGCGCAAATGAAAATGTAGCTGCCAAAGTACTAAATTCCTGGCAGTATTTATCAAGACAAAAGCTCTGATAATTATTGCTTGCTAAGAACAATTTACGGTCTCCATTGGCAAAACTTTGCCTGATATTTTATCAAGATAAAAGCTTTTGCCTGTGGAGACGGCAAGTAATTTAACGATATTCTTTTACATAATCTGGTAGCTTCATGGACAATGACAATCAGCTGATTGAATTAAGTACGATCGGTGTTTTTATTTATATTTTTTTCGGGGATTTTTGTGAACAATGCAGTTTTTGCGTGTTTTCTATTTGTTCTTTGTGGCGTAGAAAAGTTTTGTAAAGAGTGATAAACTGATAGAGAAAAATCCATAAAAATGGCTACGATGGAGAAACCTAAGGTAGGACCGTATTTTAATTTTGTGTTACTATTCCAAAAATTAATGCAACAAAATGTTTCTACAGAAGACAAAGAAGTCAAAAGTTAAACCCAAACCGGAAATCTCTAAAAGTCTAACTGAAGACGAGGAACGACAAAATGAAACAACTGCAATTGTCGGACAAAACAATTTAGTTACCGATAAAACACTATCTGTGGACTTTGACCAATTTGCAACTACCAGTGCAGGAAATATTGTTAGTCAAGAATGCTACATTGCGTCGGATTATGTCGGAGAACAGAGTGAGGATGCAAAAATTACTCGTGAAGAATCGGACGACCAGCTGTCGCTGGCGGAAGAGCTTACCCAAGAGGGGGCTGATCCAGAGGCTCCGGTAGGTGCACACCCTGAGGTTGCTCAGTTAGAGGCAAATCATGAGGTGGTCGCACACAATGAAGTGGCTGAGGGGAGCACCGCTCAAAAAGTTTCGGCTGGAGACGCCGCACCCACAGTAGAGGAGCCTCCAATTCCAACAGCACCGATTGCAGATGTAAGCACAAGTGTAGCAGTACCTAGTGGCCCGGCAGATGTACTACCAAACCCACAGTATCCAAACCTCTCACCATTGCAGCTTGTCGAAACTAAATCTAAAGTAGTTTATCAAACAAAAAAGACTGCAACCACATCTTCAAAACATTACTTTACCAATAGTCAGTTGGTACCTTTCACATTGGAACAACAAAAACAACTTTATAATTGCGGCGAATTAGATTTTGTTAAACAATTTGAATTAGACTTTCTCATGAACTCACTACTGGAAACATACGAAAATGATCCACTTCACACAGCGCTTCTTGAGTACTACAATCTACAAAGCAAACTATCAATGAATGTGTATGATGTGGAAAAGGCTCGCAAAGCCGTCAATGAGGCGCAAAAACAAATTTGGGGAGAGATTCCTGTTACGAAAACCTTTTCAGCTAAATGTGGTGATAAGGTTTTGGTGAAGGAGAGTGTCACATATAAGTGAGTGAAATTTGCTTCATAGTTACGCGGAAGCAAAAAATTATAAATAAGCAATAGTTTGCTATTCGCGTTTCCCCTTAAACTTACAAATTATATTAGCTTGAATTTGTATTTTAATTATTTCGGGTTAGTTGAAGAGTGCCATATTTTCTTTCAGCAACTTCTGGGAAATATCATTCTTCCGGCAAACTCTAGATATGTATTTATATTTGCTCATTTAAGTGTTTTTGTTTCAATAGCGTTGCTCAAGTAAATGGTAAAAACTTAGAAAACACCTCTGCAGCATTAAAAAATCTGTACGATTTGGTCTGCAATACATACACTACAAATTTAATAACAGCTAAAATCACAAAAGTGAAGGTACGTATATATATATACTATAAAATGGATAAAAGATACCAAAATGTGTTTTCCTTATAAATTGTTAATATCTATTATAAGCTCATTACCTTCTGCAGATAGACCAAATGATCGACGATATAATTTCAACAGAATGTCTGATGAGACTTGCACAAAACGAGAAAATTACTTTGCAAAAAGTGCTCGATTCCGCAGTAATTCCCTACGTTGCGCAGTTAAGGCGCTCTATATCGATTTTGTTTAATTTTATGCGCAAACTAAGTCCAAATAAGGTAGACATAACTGTTTCACGTCTACTATATTGTGAAAGAAACTCTTCTCATAACAACGCATGTATGGATATTTTTTAGGATTTTTCAAATGATTTGAAAATATGGCTGCGCAAAGTAATTGCCCTACATTTGTTAATTGCTACTAAGGAGGACCACTGGTTTCTACTTTTCAACATTCTGCGTTGTCCCATCGGTGTGGGTAATTGGGCAACTGAATTCTTTCAAATTCCCATTGGATCTCAAAGACCAGTTGCAACAGCTATCTGCTCCCATGATAGAGAGATACCGTTGGATCTCAATTCGGAGGAAATGAATCATTGTATTGCCACGCTACAAATACTGCTTTTGCCCGTGACGAAACGTACCGAATATCTAAAAGACTTTGAAAAAGTTAGTTTACATCTGCAAAGAAAACTCGTTATTACAACTAATAACATTTTTTAAGTCTCACAAGGAAATTTCGGATCCTGCGCGTGAAGAACGTTGGATACTCATAGATTCTGATGGTGAAGATAGCCACAATGCAAATGGCGAATGCGTTGGCTTGAAAGAGAGTGATTTAATTGCTTTACTCAACCAAATACCGTTTGAAAAAATCTTTATGTGAGTGTGGTGTTTCCAATACTCAATTACACTTTTTGAAACCTAAGCTAAATCAATTATTTGCATACTTGTTTCAGTTCTGCATTAAAAATTGAGAAATTTCTGAATGACTATATTATTTCTCCGGACCTAATACTAGCAAATGATGTGCTGCGGGTCATCATTTTCTTTTCGCGTTTAATAGAAATTTTCGGCGAAGGTATGTTGACATATAACACGGAGCGTTACAAGCAACTAGCAAAGCGTTTGGGACGTCTTATACGGCATACGCTACAGTACAGCACCGATTATTATGAGCTATTCATGTAATGAACTCGAGAACTGCGTTCAAAAATAAGATAATTTCTAAAATTTTCATCCTCTTTAGGCACAATGAAATTCCAAAAGATGCTAGAACATGTGAGCGCATATCTGTTGAACTGAATGCACTGCTATTCAAGGCTTGCAGGTATATTTATCGCTCCCGCAATTTAGCCACTTGGCAATACTTTTCGTCACTCCCTTTCAATTCCCTCGATGCCGATGTTACGTGGCAAATATTTTACTACCTAAATGTGGGTTTCCCAACAGAGCTGCCGCTAAATCGAACAGGTACTTTTTCAAACCAAAAAACTACGATGAAATTTATTTGTAAAATTGTATACGCTTTAGACTACTGGGAAGTAATTAACACTCCAGACTTCTGGAAGCAATTCAATGTTGCCAATGCGGATTCATCCGCCGAAGACTTATATTATTTGCTTCAGGCCTTCTTCGAAATGGCCAATGAACGGGACCGAGCCCAAGACTGGGACTTGATAAAAACAATATGCCTGCATATTTTCAATGTAAGTCCACCTTTTTCATAATAAAATGTATTTTTACTTTTTTTTTTTTTTTTCAGATCGGTTTCATAAACGCCAACACACGCGAAACTTGTTACAAAACATCCCGCGACATGCTGGTCAATCTAACACTATCCTATGAAGAACTCATCACGTGTCTATTGTTGCAATTGAAAGTTCGTTTCTATGAAATTGAAAATGGAACATATCTGATTAAGTCGTTGCCTTTGGAGAATTGGAAACCTGGCATGGATAGTTTTGAAATTTTGTCAAATTGGCTGCTTCACTTTGACTATACATCGCAGGAAAACACGCTTGCACGCATTGTCATAAGCCATTTGAATTGGGGATTTGATTACGATGGACGCCTCTTTTTGCCGCATAACATACATGTGCGCATGGCTTGTTTGATAACTGAATCGTTAAACAAACATGCTCCGGAAATCATTGGCTTATCTGGCATATCTGAAAGTGTACGTCAAGTGTCCACCCTTATGGACTTATCACAATCGACAAAAGAACAGTTTACCACATGGTGCTGGACGATGGTGTCGCTGCTACGTCTGCACCTGATGGATCAATGCGTTGAGTCCATAAAGCGGACGCTGCGTAATCCAACGGAGTCCCTAATGTTTATACCGGAATTGGAACATATTGAGATGATTTATCAAGGCGTCACAGAAAATAGGCCACTTGCTGTGTATGTAGCCGTACTGGTTAGTCTTCATGGCCATACGATACCTTTAATTTGTCAGCGTGGGTTAGAGTTGATGAAATTGCTTTTGAATGATTACCGGCACGCAGCTGTTATACGTTGTATAGAACTTATTGTTCCACTGTTTCTGGAGACGCCAGAAACTTTAGCTAACTGTGAAAAGTGAGTTAAATTTTGCAAAAACATTGCAAGTCGTAATTGCATTTTTCGTTTGTTAGTTTTCATGCCATATTAAACTCTTTGCTGAGTGCTGATCGCACTTATTTAAAAATGGCGAAAGACATAATATATCCAAACTCAATCGGTCCAGTGCTGGCGCTGCTAGACAACATGATTCACCATCAAATAACGAGTTACACGGAGTAAGTTTTAGATTTACTTTTAAAAATGTATAAAATGTAATGTAGGTGGAAGATTGAGTATGGTGACTTCTCCCCGCTTAAACGGCTGAACGGATTTGAATAAAATTTGCCATTTGTTGTTGCTGTTGTAGCGGCTACTCAACCCCGCCGAGATCGGCTTGTCTCTCAATGTCGTTGTCGTCGGTTGTAGTAGAGTCGAGTATACTTGTGAAGTGACTAAGTTGGGAATTAATAGTCAAAATGCTCTGAAGCAATTTTAGCGTGTATTATTTATTTTCTTACAACTTTGCAGCTACGGCCTTTCTTCGCCTATGAATTTAATAAACGCTTGGCTGAACTTGCTCACGGCTCTGCCCAATTGGCAAAACACAAGCGTAGTTTACCTCTTGGACATGATTCTGCGCATTGCTTATCAGTTCTCGGATGCTCGCTTTCAAGCGGTGGAATTCTTTTACAATTACTTCAAGGTAAGTTACACTTTTGATTGCTGGCGCAACATTTGAAATCAATAATATAATATAAAGGGCTGTGATGAGTGGAAAGGCGCCAGCAAATTGTCTACACTGAAAACACTTTTCGGATCGGCGCAATTACGTGTTCCCACAGTTTCACCGCTTCACAGCTGGCTGGCCCTGGTGCTGCTCGAAATTGAATTCAAAACGCAGGAGGCACATTTTTGGCCGGAGTTTTTGCGCCAATTAGCTATGGCTAATGGTAAAGGTTGTATGGAGGCTGCCCTGAAGGTAACAATTAAATTTAAATATTTATATCGATGCCGATTTTTAATGTGAAGTCTTTGTAACAGAAAACCACAACATTGCTCAAAATTACCAATACATTTCCAGCGCAAATGCTTGTGATTTACAAGTATGCAAATGTTATAGCCAGCATGGACATCAGTCAACCTATATTTCCAATTTTATGTCAGAAGTTCTTTGAACTTTATTTGAGCAGAGTTCCTTTGGAATGCGATGAATACAGGTATTTAATATATATATATATATATGTACTGCTATTTTAAAACGTTTGAACTTTTTCAGCTTTGGCGGCGTATATGGTGTTTCAGACAAATTTTACGATTTCAACGCTCCATTGATGAAAAAGGTTAGCGCCAATCTAAAGGCAGCTGATGCTTTTTACAGTAATGAAGCTACTAAACGAGCAGCTGAGGAAAGTTTAAGCATCTTTTACGGCGACTGTTCAAAGTAAGTCGGAAGTTAAAAATATTTATTAGCTCTTGTCAAATTTGGTTTGGAGACAAACCGGTTTCGGCGTTGTGCCATCTTCAGTGTCATTGTCTCCAAACCAAATTTAACAAGGGATGACGGAAAATCGTTCCACAATACATCATACTCTTACTCTGTCGGAAACACAAACAACAAAAAAAAAAAGAAGTTATTCATTAGCCTTACCAAAAGAAACAACCCAACTGCAAATTTTATCTCACATTTGGAATCTCTACAGAACATTCAACGCAGGTCACGCAATCCCTGAAAAACATTACAAAACAAGAGTACACCCAGTAGGAATACAGAGCTCGAAAGTAACCATTAACCGAAAAACCATTTCGGTTTATCTCAGATGCTTATTTATTGGGCAGCGACATAAAGGTTTCCCTTAGAGAGATATACAGATCCTAGTATTGTTACGATTGACAACTGAAATTTAAATTTAAATTAAAGAAATATATCTGATTCCATTATATTTGCCTAGACGGCTTATTGGTTGCTTGTTTTCGGTTATTAAGTGAGAGAAATAATATTAGTCTTGCATATACATACCTACATTTGTACGTACACGCCAAGGAGATATGTATATATATAGATAGCTGGATAGAATTTGTTGCGGTAACGTTTCTTCACAGAGAGCAACCATAAAAGCATTGTTAAAAATGTTAATGTTAATCGCTGACCGCTGCTGTATTTGTTTCCATGCGAACATTTGAATTGGTTAAGTGTTATCATCGAGCTCTGAAGAAAAGCAATGGGGATAGTTATCTAGACTACTACAGTCCAATTTAAAATAATTTTGCAAATTTATTATTATTATTATTATTATTATATATTTTTATTATTATTATTATTTATTACACAGGTCCACAAAAAAATCGATGAAAGGTTCCTTTGACCAAACCTAGTCTGCTATATGTTTTTGGGGTCGCCGAACACGAATAGCTCCATCACGTCTGGATTTTTTTCTAACCTCAAAAAACCCTAATTCCCACCGTCCGCGCAAGAATCCCGCACATTGTACAGCAATTCTGCATATCTTCAGATGCAGAAGCGCCCTGCTAGAGAATAGACATCCGTCTTCTCGTTTGCAGCGGAGTACGAATTTCACGTATCTCGCAAGTGAAGAATGTATGGTGCACGTTATTTTCGGCGTTTTCACAGTAGATATTCTCATGGCAGGTGAGAAACTGCGTCAAGTAGAAATCGACTCCTCCGTGCGGCCGTTTCAGACATGTCTGAAGGTCAGCTATCAGGATGTGCGTCCATCGACTTTTGGTGCTCGCGTTCCAGGTTTGTTGCCACGATTGTTGCTCGCGTACCCTTGCCGCGGCAGCTTCTCGGCCTATCTCGGCACTGAGACTGTAGATCTCTTTTTGCTCCTGAGCAAGTAGCTCAATTGGCATTACGCCAGAAATAACTAAAACCGCTTTCGCGGACATTGTACGATATGCAGAAGCAATGCGTAGTGCCCCTCTGCATTGGGCGAAAGAAATTTGAGTCCGGTAACTTTTGACTTTCAATGCATCGGCCCATATTGGCCCGTACAGGAGCACCGACTGGACTGCTATCATCAAAAGTTTCCTCCGGCATGGTTTCGGGCCGCCCACATACGCCATCAGCCAGCTTAGAGCCACCGTGCTCTGCGCAGCTGTTTCACAGACTCTATGAATGTGTTCCCAGAATGTGAGTTTCTTGTCTAGCCTCACCCCTAGGTATTTTGTATCCCTACAAGTTGTCACGAGCTGAGGTCCGACCATCATGTTAATTATTGTTGGGATCCATTTCTGGGTGAGCAGTACATTGTCTGTTTTGGCCGTTGCCAATTGCAGACCGTGGTCGCGCCATCCATCCACGAACGCTACGTATGACCGTCTGCGAAAGCGACAAGGAAGGCGCTCTCCGGCATTTCCGTGCGGAGCACATTGTCGTACGTGGTGTTCCCGATGTCTGGGCCAAGTACAGACCCCTATGCCGCTCCGCAAGTTATACGTCTCTTTCTCTGACCTTGCGTTGTGTCGTACAACAGCCAACGGTTTCTGAGGAAGTCTAGCAAGTATGTTGGAACCTTGAATGACCGTTCCAAAGCTTCCAACATGTCGTCCCATCTTGTCGAGTTGAAGGCGTTCTTGACGTTCAGTGTGACTAACAGCACTATTGGGCGTGCCTGATGACAGGCTTCTTCTGCTTTATGTACCGCCTCGACTACATCCACATTTCTCGTATAGTTGAGTGCCGCTTCCTGAAAGCCATGACGTCGTGGTAAAAGGCCTCCCGTGTTTCTATGGCTGACGTCAAGCGTGTTTTGAGCAGACTCTCCATCATCTTGCCTGATGTGTCTAGCATGCAGAATGGCCGGAATAATAAGGAGAATTTGGCTACCCATTTACCTTTGGGTATAAGCACCAGCCTCGCCTTCTTCCAGGAGATCAGGGCTTGCTTTCGCTGCTAACCTGATTGCCTCTGCTGGTATGCCATCGGGACCTGGAGACTTGCCGGCTTTCATGCTTCGCAGGGCTAACTTCAGCTCGTCTGCCGGAAACAGTGTTACCTCGGTGAAAAATAGGGTATATGTATTCTTAATTCGGACCTCGTCCATCGCTAGCGATGGCGTATGGAATTTATTCATGACTATTTTGTGCTCTTCTGTATCTGGATCCCAAGTGCTTTCTCAGCGCTTTTCTAAGCTGCTGCTGTGGTCAACGAGTTGTGAGGCTGCGCATTGTATGGCAGGCCCTTTGCAGCTCTGCAATTAGGTTATTCCACCAGTATACCTGCTTTTTACCTGACCATGATCTCGAGTATCCAAAAGCCGGCCTTCAATATGTAGGGGTCGTTCCGGTGTTGAAGATGGTCAGGCCAATGCGGGCTGCAAGGACCAGTCTTCCCCTTCTGTTTGTGTGGGGCATACCCCTTTCCACGCCTGTTGCGCTGAAGTCTGCAGCAACAATTATGTTGCCGGTTATACCACGCAACTCACCTTCAAGGCCCTCGAGTTTTTCCCTGACGACAAGCACTGTGCCGTTTGGCGACAGGTAGCAACTCACCAGAGCGATTTGCGCCATTTTCACCCAGACGTAGCAACGTCGACCTCGCTGCTCGCTGCGCGTTGGTTGGGGTTAGCAATCCATGTCGCGGTCTAGCCTGATACCAGGTGTTCTTTGTTCTGCAGGGTTCACTGATGATGACAACGTCTGGTCTTTGTTCAAGAACCAATCCCAGTGGGAAAATGTAATGTATAGTAATCGAAAAAATAATCAGTAAAACAACCCTTTTCACATTCGAAAATGCATTTTTTACCCAGGGCGATGTCCTAAGAAAAGTGGGGCATTCAATTTTGCATCACCTAATATCGAAATACGAATGTGTTATAATATGAAATTTTTGATTACATTATAATGCTGATTACATAGTTAGCACTAATATTATCGTGAACGCATAAGAAATACATCATATTATTTATCACGCATGTAATGCGTTACTACTTTTCCGTCTGGGATTGCCTCATTTTGCCTTTTATGACTTTAATCATGCCAAGGCTATATGACACTGTTGCGGACATTTCCATATGAACTGCTTCTGTCTGGGCCCTTGCCTTCCGCCTTTTTGTGGCCACATCCCAGACATCGAAAACATCTTTGGAAATCCGCGCGCTATCGGACACGGCAGATAATCCAACTTACTCGCAACTTCCCCTTTTCAATACGAGTCCGACTCGGCAGTTCGTTGATTTCCACCACGGCCATTCCTTTTTCTCACCAGTTTACAACAAGGAGCAAGACGCAAAATTGCCCATTCATCTTTTCTCCTAATTCCCCGCGTATACCTTTCTCCATCTCTGGGACCGTGGTTGGGCAGTCCATGCCTAGAATTTATAGACGTAATCGTCTGCTGAGAACATGAACTTCCCCAAGCTGGCTGATGACAGTGTACACATTTTCCTTAAATGCGGATTTGTTGCCACAGCGCTCCATCTCGATAAGCATGTCGTCTTCGCGGGTTTTCCGTACAGATCGAACCTGGACACAGGTTCATATCTCGTCTCTTGTCGCTTTGGTCTTGGACTGCTTATTGGTTATTCGCAGCTAACCTACCGAAGTAGGTTCACGATTCGACCTGTATGACCCCGGTAAGAACCTGAGCTTAGATCTTACCATTATTAGCATTATTTTATTATTTATATTGAACAGAGCTAAGCGTTAGAAGGTGGGGTCCAAAAGACTCGGCCGTTACTGTTTATGAGCAATAGGCTCACTTGAGCCGTACAAATTCTCCAGTGTGTGATGGTTTATGGTCAGTTTTCCTCTGGAAGTGGCTGGACCTTCTGGCCCTATGCTAACCGGAGAAGTATCAGAGGTTTAGCAAAAGTCAGCCATATATTTAACTAAACACTTTAGGGGAGCATATTTCGGGTCTCAGGCCGTAAAGGCGTACAGGCTTATAATGGTTGGACCAAAAAACAAAAACGTTTACAAATTTAGCCCAGATAACTCCAGTCCTTACAGTAGCGGAGCTATGGCCATAGTCTAAACACATACGCCCTCTGTTACCGCTGAAACTGATAGGTTTCATCAGTACTTTATGGATACCTGAGGTCTTGTGTTGGTTTCTGAATGGCTAGGTCATAGTGCCCATCATATATTATAATAAATGAAGCACTAATTTTATTAACTCAGGATAATGAAGTCGTACGATCTATGGCTCCATGAAACTGGCATAAATCAGCATACGAAAGATGACTGCAATTTTCCACCACAATACAATAATGAAAAGCTACGGGAAATATTAAATGGCAATACTGTAAGTATTTTACTAGCTAATGTTACCTACAATTGAGTGCGATGTGCAAATAATATTTTTTTATAGTCACATTGGACAGAATTTATCTATTTGCCGGATATACGCAAAACACAGAAACATCAAGCGCAACAGTGGGCACGAAAATGTCATCGCACTAAATCGATCAAACACCTGCGTTCACCATTGCCACCCAAGGCGCATATTGAGCCAGTGGAACGCATTAAACAGCATTTATCCTCGTACGATAAAGGGCAAGAAGCACCTGCATTTATGAAGCCAGTGATCAACATTCCAAATGAGATTACAAACTCAACATTTATGGATCTCAAAGCGAAAATAAAAACGCTCAACAGCATGGCAAAGTAGGTACAAATACGCAGAGATCAATTTGAATTAAAAATGGTCAGTCATAAAATTCATATAATTATAGTCATAATGACAGCTCAGACTTTGCTCAGGTATCATTTTTTGTGGAGTTTCAGTCTCGTTTTCTAGATATATAGATCCAATGTTGCGAGGCTGCTAGTAACGTTTGCGAATTATGAAATTTAAAACATGCCTATATTCGCGAAAAATTGGGAAATTGAATTATGTTCTATTTTTTGCGTCACATATGTATGTATATATGGACAAGGAAGAGCGCACTAACGTCGAGATCGCGAGCGAGATAATGGTGGTGGCCTAGCATTCATCACGCACCACACCATGCAGTATCGTCTCATTGAAGTAGACTTCGACCGCAGGAATACCATCCTAGAAGATCAGGGTATTGCTATCCAGTCAGGCGATGTCGAGCTCGAAATATTTATCGTTTATATACCCCCGTCATCAGCTACCCGGCAGGATATCACCCTGAAATAGGTGTGCTCCTCAGAGGTGTAGTCGGCAACTTTAATGCGCACCACGATCTTTGGCATTCAAGCCTGTCAAATGATCGTAGGCGAACACACTTGGCTGTGCAGATACACGATTCGACATTCTGCACAATGAACGCCGATGCTCCCCACACCAACCGACGTTCACTTAGGTGAACGTAAGTTTCGCAGGGTTGTCACTGCTGCTGCAGCTCGCTTCGTACCCGTCTGAGGCGGGTGAGAGAGAACTATTCTAGTAGCGTTGGATCTGTCAAAGGCGTTTGATATCGTCAGTCACTCCACTCTACTAGAAGACATAGAGGCCGCCTCTCTTCCACAGAGACTCAAACGGTGGTCGGCGAATTATCTGCGTGGTCGACACTTGTCAGTAATGTTTAGAGACAAATCGAGAAAACCTAGAAAAATTAAACAGGAGGTTCCACACGGTGGTGTCCTTTCCCCATTACTGTTTAACTACTATATTTCCAAGCTCTCTCAGCCACCAAAGGCCTTTGTCGCATTACGTTCTAGTTATGCCGTATGTATTGAAGTTTTACGGCTTACGGAACGAATTTTATTTTATTTTTCACTAACTTCACGAAGGTGGTTATCAATTTGTCGAAATATTTTGTTTTTTTTTATGTATGTACACTGCCGGAACAAAGTATTGGCACAGCAAATTTTTCACAATAATGCATAATTTTCATTCTAATATTTTTCCGCTAATTTCGTATAAACATATGGTTCCTTCTGCAACAAAAAACATAAAAATATAATTCCTTTTAATTTTCAACTTTTTAATCAGATTCTTTAGAATTTTTTTGGGTATGCAGATTTGTATTGTAGCCCGATCAATTTTATAACAATAAAATGCAAGTTTTAAGGAGCTAGGAATTACCATTGATTTTGTGCAATTTTTTTCACGCAATCTCATCCATACAAACAATTTTTTTCGAAAATACTTTATATGGAAAAAGTGCAAAACACCTTCAACAAAAAAAAATTTCAAAAACCAACGCGATTTTTGACTAATTCCGAACTTTATTTTTTTACTAGAATTTAATGGGCTGCAAAACTGCATACTCAAAAAAATTCTAAAAAATCTGATTAAAAAGTTGAAAATTTTGATGTAAATTTGCTGAGTTTTCGCGAGTTTTGCACAAAGTTTAGGAATTATATTTTTGTGTTTCTTGTTGTAGAATGAACCATATTTTTATACAAAATAGGCGGAAAAATATTAGAATAAAAAATTGTTGCCGCATAAATTTGGATCACGTTTGCCGATTTCTATATATTTTTTTTTTAAGGAAAGGTGGTACATCAGACGTGGTTCCATACTAATTTGGTTTAGATCCGATCATTGGACATTGGATCATGAAGAAATTAACGGTATTCTTAAATTTTTATATTACTTAAAAATTACTTGTTTACTGGTGATTAGAAAAGTATATTACATCATGCCACCAGCTTTAGCTCGCCACTGATTGCACAGGGGATATATGAAAAATTCTCTTTTCTTCAATTTTTTTCGAAAGACCATTTTCCGGATATTCCACATTAAAGTCCGATAACTCAAATTGGTTTCAACTGCTCGAAAAATACCAGGAATGCCTCAAACTCAATTATACGAATATAAAAATCGATTTCTTTCAGCAAATTTCATTATGAGACTAGTGAACTAAGTGCACTGAATCGAAACTATTTGGATAAAATTTTGAATTTGTACAAAATGGTGCCTTACGATCAAATAAAAATCAAAAGTTGCGATTCCCTACTTTTCAAACGGCAATGCAGTAGTCCAGCAACTATCGTCACAAGACTGGAACAAATACGCGTTGACAGTGCAATTGAAGCTAAGATAAATAAATATATGGGCCGCCATGACGAGATTATAGACGGAATGCTCAAATTGAATGTAGAAGAATTTGCGCGTTGTGTGGAGCAATTGAGCGGTATTATGCGGTAATATGAAGTGATGTTGAGTTTTATTAAATATTCATGTACATATATGTATGTCTCTTACTCTAGCATCCTAATTGCATCCAATACTACGCAGAGCACCACTGTTGTCACCAACACAGGCACAAATTTCTTCTATGCCGTTGTGGAAAATCTTACCGATGTCACAATCAAATTCCAGCCAACCAACGATTTATATAGCCAGCTACTGTATGAACTAAATGTAAGCAGTGGATTTTGCTTAGAAACCGATGTTGCCTGTTTGTAATACTTTGGCTTTGGAATTTCAGATTTTCGTACATGCGAATCAAGCTAAGGAAGGTCTCAATATATTGGAACTAGCCCTCAGGCGTGCTGATCTAATAAAGGAGCTGGCAGCAGCATTTGTGCCCTACCGCACGCCGCCACAAAGCTTTCTGAAAATGTATAAATTTCTGGTCGAATCATACTTGAAACGCTGTGATACAAAAATCCTTTTTGTTTTATTATCGAAAGTAAGTATCAATGGTTTTTTTTTTTATCTGCGTATAGGTATATCCTCTTTTTTACACTTTTTGAACCCATTAACTGTTTTTATTAGTTTGACCTGGTAACTTGGCTTGAAAACTTTCAACCAAAACTTAACGACATTAATGAGCTGTTGAAACTGGTACTACAAGGACTGGAATGTTGGTCTCAACCCGACTCTAGCCTCCTCCAAGACCAGTTTCGGCGCCATTTGGTGCACGTATTCGATCATGACTTTCCGCAGCATTACGGTGAAGTCTTGCAAATGGTTTTAGATCGAATTTCAGAGCAGAAATTAATGCCGATTGTGCTGCTGGATTTGCTAAATTCACTACTTGCGCGCTTCAAGTGCAAAACCTTGTCAATAAATACCAAAACCGAGGAAGTTGTTGAAGTTGCAATTGACTTCGCCCGCCGGCAAAACCTTTTCAACTTAAAAGGAGCTACAGATACTGTACTGCTCTTTGCGCGTCACTTTCAAAAAGAGAGACTGCATCATGGCCTGCACGGCTTATATCCGAAACATAAGGACTACTGCAATCCACTGGCAATGTGGTTTTCATGCATGGGCCATGTTGTGGTGGTTACCGCCATTTGTACTTTCCAAGATTTGCTGGCAGATCAGAGTGAGTTTGCAGAAGCAGATAAAACAACAAAAAAAACTCGATACTAATTGTGTTGTTTACAGTAAGCGAAGTAGTCTTCGGCTCAGTTATTGAACTTTTTGCGCCGTGGCTAATACCGTACTCTGAAGAGGCTTTACAGCAAACCACATCGAATTGGATACGGCAACTGACAGTGAAAGACAAACTATTGTCGCCATGGAGTGAGCAATATGCCCCTAAAAGCAAAATAATGATAAGGTCGTTAATAGACATTTTGAATTTTGTGCTAGAGAATCTGCCAAGTAAGCAAATTGTAATAAATAAAAAAGATCATTCGAGCACAAAAATAGGAAATTTTCTAACGTTACAGTTTCCCATGTGGTTCTTACACACATATTTGGCTGGTACGTACATCATTTTGCGATACCGAAAATCGACTTTCACGTTTATATGAATATACACGAGGGTATGGGTGCATTGCCCTGGGAGAGATTTAAACCACAACCTGCGCAAATAGATTTATTTCATGACAAACTGCAAAAGGTAAGCATAAATGTTTACTGTTTACCATATATGATGATGTTGACGTTAACGTATATCTAATTTTTCATCATCCATATCCAGTTCGTGCCTTCCGCCCATGCTATGCTGGGACACATTTTCATACGTATTAGCTGGATTGTCTGGTTTGAGGAGACACTACCAACTATTCCGAGCAATACCCAAGCGCAGGTTATTTCTCGACTCTTTACGATCTTTGTGAAAATTTCTTTTGAACCGAATATCCACATAAATATAAACACTAGTAGAATACTAGAAGATGCCATTAAATATCCGTGGTATATGGTTAGTTACGCTGAGTTGGAAAGTCTTTTCAACTGGCTTGTGAACACAGTAGATTACGCCATCATACTACAAATACCATCAGAAACAAACTACACTGATAGGGCAGTATTGGAGTAAGTTATGTGCGGGTGCATTTTCACTTCATCATCATTATTTCTAACTTTTTCAATTATATTTTTTATCACTCCAGTTTGCTTCGCCTTAGCTGCGCCATGATGCCAGAAAAAACCACATCTTGGGAAGCCTCTATGCAGCCCATTAATTATGCAACAGCAAAGCGAATTCTCTATACACGCAATTACATTCGTTTGTTATGCCTCGCTGCCACGAAGAACCACAAGCTAATGAGCACAAAAGAAGGTATCAATGCATTCAATTCTGCTTTCACACAACTGCTGAACACAATAGAAAAGTCCATTCGCGCGACTAAAGGCATAAAAACCGTCGAAGAACAGAAGCGTGAAGCCTTAAATCTAATGGTGGAGATATTAGTGCCTATGCAAACGCAGAGAGTGGAGACTTCCAAGTAAGCGCAAAGTATTGTCAATTAATAAAAGATTGAGCTGAAACAAACTTTCTCTCTTTATTTTAGCAACTTGGTAGACACGATTATCCAATGGCAGGCGCAATGCGATGCTGGTAACTTCTTAATCTGCAGTACATTTAACGCTGTTGGTCATTTGAAGACCTTCATTAGCGGTATTTATCCTCTTTTGGAATCCACTATTGCCCATTATTTCCGCACAACAGCAGAATCAAAAGATTGGCACACACCTACTTGGAGTGAACTCTGGCAGATACTGCAAACTTCCCTAGCGAAAATGGACTTGATGCCTGTTATACATGGCCCCTATTTCTTCATCTTACATATTTTTTTCATTTATAAAATTGATCAGACTACCAACTCTGGTGATAAAATCACTTTCCTGCAAGATGTGTGCCAATTGCTAGAAGGCTTGAAAACCAAGTGAGTGTACCATAACTTTAGTTTCTCTATTAAAACCAGAGCATGGACATAAAAATTACCACGAGGGTTATAACTCATTGTATAATAAATGTAGATTTACGAGTTTAAACATAAGCTTTTATTATTTTAAGCAGGAAATACCGATTATGTTTGTGGCATAGGTAATACAGTAAAATGTAATTCCACGTGATCTTTGGTAATTTTCGAGATTCTTCATTTCCTCGGTATCTTTTTATGACCGTTCAGGAGTTTTCAGCTAATTTTAGTGTTATACTTGGGGAATAGTGTTTCGAGGACTTCCCGGTGAAGTATCTTTATAAACGAGTAAAATAAAATAGAAAAAGAAAAATATGATTATGAAGAATATGAATGAATAAAAATTAATGGCGTTTTCGTTTCTACCGAAAAATGTTACCCTCTCAGCACAAACACTTAAGGACCGGGCAATGAAAAGGCAAATTTTTTTTTGTAGAAACGAAATCTCCATAACCAATTGCTTTTTTTTAATTTCAGGCCTTTTACTCTATTCAAATAAATTTAAGCAACCGTCTTAAATTTTAAGAAAACGCGATTGATTTTTTTTATTCATACGGTCCGTTGTTTTTTTTCAGAAATTAGTAAAGATTTGCTTTCTATTTTCAAAAATTAGTATTCCTTGTTCAAGATAATAAGAATCAAAAACTAACTAAAATTTGTTTTTTTTTATAAAATTCATGCTCGATATATCCTCTGATTGAAACAAACTGTATGCATTATTTCAAACTCGTTAATTTTCAGTCCCTACACCGAACCACGGTCAGCACTGGTATGGGGCGCGGTTATTTCGCGCGGCTGTCAGCTACTTTGCGAGACTCAAAATGCGAAAAAGGTGCTATTGATGTTTGCCTCCTACATGTGCTTGACGTCGACGCAAACTGAGGGATGGGGTGATACGTTAATGGGAGCGATTGGTTTAAGGACCGATGTTGTGACGAATAAGTATGCAGCTATGATTTTTATATAAGCAAATGATTTGAGCTAAGTAAATTTGTTTTGTAGGCGAAAAGCACTGGCACGTTGTTTAGCATGCGTGTTGTACTCCTTATTTCCACACACGAGGTACGAACAAATCAAAAGAAAAAAAGGTTGAAATTCAATTAACATATTTGTTTATACAGCTCCGCTGGGCCATATCCCAACGACGAATTTGAGCTTTCGCTATATGAACTAACGGTGTTATTAGCTAATAAAAAATTCGCAGATATCAAGCCTCAAATAGTTATGGCTATTGGTGTAATCAAAGATGAAAGCACTCCCGTTTTACGTGAAGTACCACAGTTAGTTTGGCGGCTCATCGGTATATTTTATAACGATGACTTTCTTGCAACTGTTGCTGAACTATGGAACATCGACTCTAGGTTTACATAGACATTTTTTCATGTGAATATTTAATCTTTTTTTATAAAGGTACATGTGTAGAAACTGGCTGATGCACCAATGGTTTTATGTACATATACATATTTTGCATATACATACATTAAGCAATATCTACTTATATTTTTTTCAATTTCATTACAACATAATAATTATATTTTAAGTAATAATAAAGGTTATATTTTACAGATATCAATAAAAGAATAAACTAAAAGTATCAGAAAACACATCTTTGAAATGGGAAAAGTTACCAGCCGTCGTGATGGTTATACGTGTTTTGCGCGCCTTCTAATTCGATATCGAATTTTATACTCTAAAGTCTTTATTTCGCTAAGTAAACAGAAAGCTAAAGAATAGTGTCAAAGATCATAGACTTCAAAGAAGCTCGTTCCGTTCCTTTACCTGACGATTTTTTCACAGCACAAAACATCAGAGAGACATCGTGTACAATTGAACTCAGCATGAAGATTTTATGAGTACACAAATCATATAATCATAGATGTTGTTAAATTCCATCATAGCCGATGATAAATGATATTATACTTAAATTATTTCACGAATACAATTTTGTGGCGAATGCTTTGATTAATTGAAATTCAAAATTATCAAAATACGTTATAACAACAGCCTTCGCATTATAGTAAATTTATAAATTGTATAGAGGCCATTGACCATTTTTTCAAAGAAATAAATTACATCGTAGATGGGGTTCTTATTGGTTCGCTGGCTATCGAAGATCGAAAGTGAAATTCGTATTGTGAGCAAAAACATAGCAAGGTATAACCGTTCTCTCAATTTGTCGGCCATGATTTTTTTTTGAAGTTTGCCAACATTTTAAAATCATATAAAAGTGAAAATAAAAAATTGAAATTGTTCGTGCTTGAGATTGAAAATGAAAATGTGTGTGTGAGTTTGTGAGTAAATTTAAAAATTAAATTGTTTGGAAACGTCAAGAATCTTAAAAGTGACTCTCAGCGGTTCTACCTTACTATATTTTTATCATGATTTTTATCATGTTGTGAGCTATGCAAGCGTGCCGAAATTTTCGTTGAGTATCGAATTTTCTGTCGAACAGAATTGTGGTTCGTTGGTGTAGGGAGGTGTTGGAAAATTGTGAAAAATGTATGATTTTGCCTTTGTTTTCTTACTTTTTGGCGGCTAGACACTAATTATAAACAATTTTTATTAATTCTAACGTCGTGAGTACTAAACGCAAGCTCGAAAGTCTGGTTTTACTTATGAAAGAAAATCCCAATACGCTGTTGGCACGATCTTTCAAAACAAGATCATAAAGCTGTTCGTAGTTCATTATATTTAAAATGGATTTGGATCACAAAATTTCTTAAATATATTGTGTGTCAAAATATATTCGAAAGACTGCACTTAAACTCTCTTAAACGTTTTTTGTTCCTGGCCAGTTTTCTAAGCTCTCATCCTCTGATGAATCATACAACCAGAACTCTGTTGTACTAATTAACATTTTTTTTACTACGTTTTTATAAACTCGCTTTCTTTTGTATTTCATTTTAATTTGCACAAACTTACATATGTAAATATGTATAAGCACACTATTTGATTTGCTCGTTTTGTAAAAAGAGCTTCTCAGCGGTGAAAAATATACTACACTCAGAAAAAAGTCAACCAAATATACGTCTCCCAACACGTGATTGGGTAACTATAAACAAATAATGCAACTATAACCAAATCATGTGTTGAGAAAAACATATTTAGTTGACGTAACTAAACTCTTTTCTCAGTGTATTGTGAACAACCTAACCTAACGAAATTGACAATAGCGCTATTCTTCATCGAATTGAAATAATACCAAATAAAAATTCGTTCGATCAGCACTTTCGACCACAATCGAAGATCGAATGCAACTTATAATAGTGGCTATCGTTGTCCATACGACAAGTGTTAACCCTGAACTTCAAACCGATTTTTATGTCCTATATATTTTAGGCTTTGTTTTTTTTTTGTGTCATTCATTAAAACAGTTTTAATTGTTCTTTAAAATTCTGCGCACGCAAAAATATTCTCCGCTCACCAGGACTGCTTTATACGATTCGTTATTTCCGCTTGACACGTTCAGCTTCTATGTTAAGCTTTCATTATTTTTAACACGTTCACTATCAATTGCTTTGTAATTACCAAGTGTATGGAAAAACTTACATACATTTGTATGAGCAAATGTATGTATGTATATGTATACTATGTTAATCAGGATAACTCTGAAAAGATAAAAACTAGAAATAAATAACACGGTGCTAACAAAAATGGTCATAAAATTCCCCTGAAACAAAATCTAGAGTAGGTTGTACCTGTGGTCGAGTACAACATAAAAATAGGTTCCGTATAGTTCCTGAACCCTCCATTTTTATTTTATTTAAAAACAACCGTTGTGTTCGTACTTGATGCACTTATTTATTAACAGCTGGACTATTTTTCAATCGATTTTAACACATGGCAAATCTACCATAGAACAGGTATTCACAATACGTCAATTCTTGTAAAAGACCCGCGAGAAAAGGATCGACACTCACCACCAATTTGTCGACTTCAAATAGGCTTTAGATAGCATTAGAAAGAGTTGCCTATACGCCGCGATATATGAATTTGGCATCCCCGTGAAACGGATACGGCTGTGTAAAATTNTTATTTTTCCTTACACACGCTCATTTTTATTTTTACTCTCCCGAAAACTTTGACTTTTGTAGGTTTGAATGTCAATTTGGCTTCTACCTGTTTTTATTGTACCATGTCATTAAACACCAAAAATAATGTCAGCCTTTAAATGAGGTTTAGCTGTCAAAATTGTGTACACTTATTTTCTGAAAAAATCACTGAATTTTATTCGGTGAGTTTTTGGTTGAGAGTTTTGCACATTTTCTCCAGCCCCAGGGCTGCAAACCGGCTTTGAACCGAACCGGATTTTGAAAAAAACAGACCCTTTTTTCGGCGTCGAATTGAACCGTTTTTATTTTGAAATGCCAAAACCGAACCGAAAACCACTCCAAAAAATGGGTCGATTCGGTTCAAGATTAAAATCGATTAAAGCATTTTTCAAGTTTTGCAATACAAAAGTTTGTATAAAAATACAAAGCGTATGGTAAAACAGCAAAAATGTTTTCGTTTGATGGCAACTACAATTTCGTTTATATAAATAATGCTTGAATTTCTTTATATGGAAGAAAAAGCTTACCAACGCCAGCAAAAAAAAAATAAAAAACTAGGATTTTTGTTTAGTTTTGATTAAAAAGTGTGAAACTTCGATGCAATTTTGTTGAAGTTTGCAGATTTTTTCTAATCTTCGTACAAAGTTTGAAGTTTGTATTCAAATACTTGTGGTTATATAACTAGCAATACTTTTATAAAAAATGTATGAACATTATATTTAGAAACAAAAAAAAAAATAGTCAAACGTCGCACTCATATTATTTTGACCCAAGGTATACTTGAAGTAAATTAGGGTTTCAGCATTAAGCCAAGATTTTGAGGGTCAATTCCAAATCCTGAGAATGCTGTTTTTGTCTACTCGACTAGGCTCACCACTTGCCCAAACCTTTAACGGTTTATTAAAATTTTTCTAATTTCGCCTTGATCGTATTGATTTTAAATAATTTTATTGTTGACGGTACTTATTACATACTTTGTATGGAAGAAAATACATAAGTGAAAAATTGACAAAAATCGACTTAAAACTTTTCCTTGAAATTCTTATTGAAAAGTTTGTAATTTAGATGAAATTTTGCAGAATACTATCAATTTTTGCACAAATTTTGAAACTTGGATTTATATTTACTAGTATTTACTTTTTCAGCACTATACAGGCGGATGTTTGAATTTGATCTCAGAAACAAAGTCTTTATTTTTCTTTTTCTTGTACCGGTACGAAGTTTTTCTGAGGAAGTGGCTTCCAGCCCTGATGAAAACATCTCTTGGAGTTTTCCAGAGAAATATTCTGTCTAATATTTACAGGCCTTTGCGCGCTCCAGCTCTAAAAGTATTCAATGCGGGTCGCGATGCTGGCAACAGGTTTCCTCTGCGTTGGAAAGACGAGTTGGAGAAGTACTTGACTTCATTTTGCATTTCCAATTGGCGTCGGTTAGCCCCGAAGAGAAACGACTGGCGTGCTGTTTTCGACTTGGCCAAAATCGCTTAGGCGGTTACAGCGCCAATAAAGAAGTAGAGAAGACCATATGCACCGGATTGTGATTCCTCTTACAGTAGCGGAGCTCACGATTTGTGGCATTTTGAGTGTAAAGCTATTAAGTGTAAGGTTGAAGTTGCTAAAAAGCGCCGTTGATTTTTGATAAATTTTTTGCTGACGCATTTTCTTCCATACAAAGTATGTTCGACAATTTCTCTTTATGGAAAAATGTGCACAACACCCATCACATACAGTAAAAAGCATTTTTTTAATAATTTCAAATAAAATATAACCTCATTTCTTGGATTAACTCACTGCCCTTATTCACATGAAGTTGGATGTATTTTTGTGCTGATATGTATGTATCTTAAATTCTTGAATTCTTACTTTTACGCCTGGTATAATTTTAAGCACTATCAGACTATTAACAAATATTAATACTCTATAACCCAGCTTAATATTTACATAGGTACACGCCGTTGCTAATATACAAACCGTTCTATGTCATTTATTACTTCTTTTGATAAA